CCCCAAAACCCCAAAACCCCAAAACCCCAAAACCCCTTCATTCATTAATTTATTGAATTTAAATGCTAGGAAATAAGGGTCTTCAAGAGACAAGAGACCAGAACGAGGATTTTCTACTCTATTTTTCTCCTTTTTACCGATACAAAGAGGAAAAAGACCAAAGCAATGAGCCTTATATTCCCAAGCTAAACCTAGAGAAACTGGAGGAAAAATAAAATGAAAGTAGCAGTCAACCAGAAGCCAAGGAGGAAGATCTTAAAATAAACAGAAAATGAAACATAAGTTTGCAGACCGGGTCAAAAAGATGCGCAACATGAATGTTCGAAGAATCAAGAGGCCGAACATCCAATCACAGCTGATCGATTTTAATGATGTGCTTTCCCTTTCTGCTCTTACTAACAATGAATTAAAGCCTAAAAGGCTTTTGCATAATAAGTCAGTGCATTCTCATAAAAGAAGTAAGATTCAGGCTGACAAGGTCAAAACTCCTATGTCAATAAAGCAAGATACCAAGTCCAAATAAAATTCCTGAAAGCGAGAATTTCAACACATTTGCCCCAGACGAAGAGGCTAATTTTCAATCTCGAAGCTCCTTCATAAAAGAAGAGAACAAAGAGGATACCTTAGAAGAAAAGGAAGAATCTAAAATTGATAGTGACTCCCAATTTTTCTATAACTTGGCGTATTTGGTAAATTTAAAATTTATAGCCCAAAAAGAACACAAACTAAATTGCATCCATCTGCTTTTAAGCAGTCTTCATTTAATCAGAACAAGAAGAAAGATAGATTGACATCCTTTCATCTGAGCGCTAAGAATCTTCATCTGAAAAGAGAGTCTTCAGCTCCATCTCAGCGTCCCAAAATAGTGCTGTCCAAGTTGACTCCTTCTGAGTCAGCTAGCAATGCAAATCTTCGTGAAGAATATCAGAATGCTCAGCTACAAAACCTAAAATCTAGAATAATCGATGATAACTTTTTAGGATATGGTTCGAAACCCTTACCAGGGCTGCCTAGAAGGAAGATTGGCAAGAAGGGCTCCAAGAGAATCCTGTTCAGAGAGCACATTCCTACAAATAACAGACCAATGTCTTCTGTGCTCCGAAGCAATCCATTAATAGATAATACAATCAAAAGGCTGCATAAGCCAGTGAAGCAATTTGTTGCTGATCAAATTCAGAAGGTGCCAAATACCAAAAAGTTCCTCGAGGATGGACTGAATAATTATTTATTAATAAACCCTTTCAAGAACCTTGCGAAGCCATTCCAAGATCCTTTGCAGCTTCCTAATGAGATAGAGAGGTTGGTTCTTGAAGATGAGATCCTTCAAGCCAAGAGAGACTTGGAAGAGAGAAAGACATCCTCTTCTGTTACAAAGAAAGGGTAAGTTTTTACATTAATTCTTAGAACCCAAATCAGCTCAGCAGATAAAAGTAACATAGACTTTGAAGAGGAGAAGAAGAACCTTAGATTTAAAGATATAAAAAGGGCCCAAACCAGAGTACTCGCAGAACATATGAAAGGAGACCACCCTGTTGTGAGATATGGACAACGACTGAAAGAATGAAAGCAAGCAGTGGTGTATGCTACCGAAGACCACGTCCCTGAGTTCTCCTCGTCTGACGAAGATTTAGAGTTTGATAATCTTACACCTAGGTCAAATGAGCTTTATATGGTTACTAAAGAAATCAAGAAAGGTTTCAAAGAAAACGATGAGCCTCCAAAGACTAAAATAACCTTTTATAAAATTGGTAAAATCATTGGGAAAGGAGCTTTTGGTAAAGTGAATCTTGCAATGCATATTCTGGCACAAAAACTAATCGCAATCAAATCGATTAAAAGAGAGCATACTCGGAAAATAGATACTCAACGAAAACTTGATAGAGAGATAAAGATTCTGTCTACTTTAGACAATAGCCTGTTTGTAAGGCTTTATGATGTCTTCAGTGATGATAGATACACTTACATTGTAATGACTCTTTGTGAAGGAGGGTCTGTAGCTCAATATATGCGGAAAAGCAAATGGCTCAATGAAGACCTCTGTAAACATCTCTTTATCAATGTCTGAAATGGTATTAAGATTTTACACAAGATGAACATTGCCCACCGAGACATCAAGCCCGAGAACATCCTAATTTGTAGAAAAGGAAATATTTAAAATATGAGATTTTGGGATTTCAAGGAAGATTGGTCAAAGAGAAATGATCAAAGATAGTTCTGGAACACCAGCTTATATGGCTCCTGAGACTTTCTCTGAGAAAGCATATAATCCTTTTCTGGCTGATATCTGGGCTCTTGGAATACTTCTATTTACCTTCCTGAATGGACATCCTCCATTTAAGCAGAGAAATCGTACATCGATGAAGGAGCAGATCCTCTCAGCTAAATTTAAGTTTGAGAAAGAAGTTTCTCAAGAGGCAATAGACCTCTGTAAATACGTTCTTCAGCTAGACCCCCACAAGAGGCCAACTATATCGCAATAATCCTAAGCCATCCATGGATGGAGTGCAAGTTCAACACTGAAAATATGAAGGATAAGGAGTTTAGTAAGTGGTCTCTCACATTTTTAGAATCTTACTGTGTTTTCAAAGGTGATCCTATTTTTGACTTAATAAGAAGCAATATTTTCAACGAAATGAACAGCCATGAAGTTGGCACTAAGGGGAAAAAGAATACAATTCTAGGAAAGAAAGATCAAACCCAAGGCGATCAAATCTTTTCAGAGATGCTTACTTTTGACAATATAGATTTCACAATGAGGTATTTAAACTCTACTCTGAACATCAACCAGATGAATATTACAGAGGGAAGTATAGTCTTATGCCCTTTCAACACTTCCCAAGATAGAGGTAGGCAAAAGACTTTGTTTGGGCGTGCTCCTATTTATAAGAAGAAAGAAGACGTTATCTTCTTCGAGCCTCGCGTTCGTCAAATAGATATTCAATATGAGTTTGATAATAATCCTCGGTTTGACGATGGAGTGTTTGTTTCAACCATAAAATCTTCGAAGAGTAAGAGTCGGAGCAGAATGTCTACTCAAAAATCAAGGACAAGAACTTTCACATCCAAAAATGATAGTAGCAAACCGAATACCTCTTTCTATTTGAATGAAGATGACTTTCAAGCGGTTGACAAAAATACTAAGTTTCTTGCAATGTTTGGAGAGAAAGGAATTCAAGAAATTAGCCTGGCTGATAATCAGAAGATAAAACTTGACTATAACTTAGTATATGCATGCAGGAGGTTTGGGTATCCTTATGTCTACACTCTGAAATGCATGGTAACTAAGGATATCAATTACTGCACTGCCTTTTTGAAGCTTGTAAGGCAGAATAGTTAAGTTCAACAGAACCTTCAAAATAAGGGGTTTTGGGGTTTTGGGGTTTTGGGGTTTTGGGG